TTCCCATGCAAATGCTGCAGGATCACCTCTAATTGTAAAGGTTATTGTCTAATTTCTGAAAAGCTAACTTACCTGCTGCTCTGATCTGATTTTACAAACTTCTAACATTAAAAAATCATGATGTTTATAATTTGCAAAGCTTAATATTTTGTATCACAGGTAGTTGAATTTCCATAAATCACATGCAACAAGTTGTAAATCCCTCCAGATGACCACTGTAACTAAAACAGATTTCACAAAAGGCACTTGCATCACTCAACCAAATCACTTTCAGTTTTGACTGTTGTGCTTTTGGGGTGCAGAGAGGCAAAAACCCTGTTAGATGGTGGATATTCTAGAAGTGACATATTCTAAGCTAATTTATTCCACACCTCTCAATAAGAAGCACATTCTTCCTGAGAGGTGCTATGAGAAATTTGAGTTACAATGACTTTGTACAAACAAGGGTGCGGTTGAATTTCATTATTACCGCTAGGAGACAAGCTTAGCCTTAAGAATGTTAGCACTGTATTTGTCTTCATTACATTATCCAACAACACGTGAACCAAACAAACAGGACTGTAATTATTCTGACATTCTGATGTTTTATACCATGATTTAAAGTCATTCCAGGAAACAAAAACTCCAATTTGTTTGACCGCCATAACATGCTTAAACAAAAGCAGAGTTTTAGTCTCATAAAACCAATATTTGCTATAGAAACAATTTAACTGTAACTGCACCTATCTTATCAAGCTTCCTAGTAAAAAATCTGTAATCCTCTTCAGTAGCAAAAGTCAAAGTCCAAGTTTTGGTCATTTAAAAAGTCTACTCTTTTTGGGTTGGTGCAGTTCCTCCCCAAACCCTCCTGTCCACCTAAACATGTTCTCATGGAGAATATTGCTGAGGAGCACTTGCCCTTGTACACTAAATGGAATTCATTGCAGTGATGTGTTTTTCATGTCTCGTGAACACACAAAAATTTCAATCAGAAAGTGTAGTAGTCAGAGTAGATTCTACCTGCTGTTCCATTATTTCAGTAACTCCCTATATTATCTGTTCAGCTCAACAGATGAAGCTCCAAGGCAATAAATTACTATCACAGGAGAAAGTGCAAGCGAGCCAGTTGTTTGAAGTTTCTCCACTATCTGAAAGCCCTTCAATGACATTCTCCTTCGCCGATCTTCAGTCATCTGACTGCAAGAGGACTGAAGTCTCCTCTGGTTTGCCATTTCTAGATAACTGTAGGAATTCCAGGCATAGAGTTACTTAGCTCATACGACCAGCTTCCTGTCAAAGGTAGAGCTGCTTTAAAACACTGAAAACCATTTAACTGAGTCAATATACAGTCCGGTAGCACAAGTGTAAATTTTATTTATAAACTGGAAAATGTGAAACATTCCAAGTCACCTTGGAATGATTTGGTGAAAAACAAAGGCATAAAATATTTCCTGAAAACACTGAAGCACTGCTGAGGGAGAAAAGTAAACGCTAATTTTAAAGTAGCCATTCTCCTAAGCACAAAAGAACATTGATCAACCTTATCAGGGAGAAGTAGCAAAGCTTGCCTCCCCAGTCCTACAAAGAAGTGCTTGGAATTCGAGACACAGCTTACCAACAACAAGTAGAAATTCAGGTCAGAAAAGTAGGAGATGGTAAGGCTTGTAGAAACATGCCTGCCTGTCTATTCAGAGGCTTCCTATTGTAATTCATTTGGATCTGCCTAATGCACGCTTAAAACAACACGAGGTTATTTAGAAATTTACACATACACACAACGACTCTCTCCTCCCTTCCCACAAGAAGGTCTCGGCAACTTGTCTACAGCATCTCTACAGGGTAAACTCACAGTCCAGCTTCCCTAAACACTGAAGATGAATGGTTTCCATGCAAGCAACAACTAGGTTTTGGGATTTGTGGGCTCTTTTAAGCTCATGAGGCACTTATATTCACAAGTTTTATTTTTAAAAAAGAATAAGAAAAAATAGTTACTAGTATTAACCTCTCAGGAGTCTAAAGAACCTTCAGATGCAAGGAAGATGTTGCAGGAAGAAGTCCAAAACCAAATGGAGAAAAGGTTCACATTGGTTTTGATTTCTTCTCATCCACACCAATTACTTTCTTTTCTCATTCTCCGAAATGATCCCCCAAAACGATCCCCAAAACATTTTATGCGCCAAACTATTAGTATTATGTATGACTATTATGTATTTTTATCTTCTTTGCAACAAAATGTATTACACCAAGCATCAGGATTAATAAACATTTCAAAAGTTTCCAGGGAACATTATATTTACACAAACTGAAGCCTTTGCTTACTACACAACCAGTATATTTCTCAGGAATGTTTCAGCCAAATGCCTATCATTTGACATGGGTATTCTGAAAATTTCAAAAGGAGCAATAAGCAAAGAGTTTAGCTCATTGTATTTGCTAGGTAATATCATCTCTTTCACCAGTTAACATAAGGAAATTGCTGCATTATTTCTATTGAAGTAAATCACTGTCTTCACTCCTCCCTCCCTGCAAACTCAAACCAGTCTTATTCCAGGCAGAAAGACGAAAGAGGACTGAGAAGTGTCCCTGCTTTAACAGCACACTGCTGGTGAGGTTACAAACGAAACCAAAAGCTTACTCTAGAGGCTAAATGGACCTTTCATTTTAAAATAAAGAGTAACTTAAAATATCTCTAGTGAGATTAAGACATTGAATTGTGTCACTATGACATCGCTTAGTTTATCAGCAAATATTACATATAGAAGTTTTTGGTCAATTACAGCAGGACAGACACTCATCACAGCCACATCCACTCTCACAAGCAGCTAACCTACAATTTGACTCAAGCTGATCTACCGGTGAAAATTAAACCATGGATTCTGACCCTGTTTTTAGCAGGAAACAGAGTAGGATCTATAAGGGGCACCCATTTCTCTAGACAGGGAAATCATCCTGTCTTATGCATTGCACAGGATCCCAAAAAGCAGCTGACGTAGTTGTGCTGAAGGCTGGAGGAGACAACAAGGAATTACCTGACTCAAAACACTTTTTGTTTCCTTTCACTAAAGTTTAGCTCCAGGACAATGAAAATAAGTCTAAAACTTCCCTGTTTAGAGACATGCACTACAGTAAACACTCTTTTCTCCAGATGCAGATTCCCACGTATCCAGCTGATAATTTTTTTCTTTGTCATTTCCCTCAATCACTTAGCCATGATCTATGGACACCCCCTGCAAAGCCCACACTAAAAAGCCTCAGTGGTGTGACAGTGAGCACAGCAGGAACTTAGCCCATAACAAAGGTTCCTAAATGCTGTGACAACACAGAGGAAGAAAAACTGACAGAAAGGAGATGTCACAGTTCTGGTCCTGTGTAACAGTACCTTCAATCATTAATCTAGCTACTCTTCTGTGGCAAGGCTGTACTCAAACATACTGCTGTCTAGATGGAAGAAAGCTATCACCAGTATGCAAACTGTTATCCATACTATATGTCATCTGCTTGTTGTTCAACCCAGAAAAAAGTCAGCAAATCAAACTGATGTGCAAATTAAATTGCACGTCAACCTCAGATTTTGTTTGCTGGGTTAATAGATAGTGAAGAGTGTTACATTGCTGCTGCTACCGGGCTATGTACCTTGCAGGCAGAGGCAGGGGAAGGAGAGGGCAGAATCAAAAACTCCCATCAATAGCCTGTTTGCAGACCGGTCAGAACAGGAGATAGGGGTGAGCTAATTATGTGGCCCATTTTTTCCTCCCTTCAACAAAAACAAAATATAAAACTATGGATTATTGTTCAAGCTATGAGGCATGAAACAGAAACTAAACCCAGCAATACTGAGCTACCACAGCATGAACCAATTGCCCGTGCAGGGAAGGACATATTTCTGTTATGGATGCTTGATGAACATGGATTATAGAGTTCTGAAGATGCTCTGTGTTTACTTAGTTGGCTACTGAAATGGATAATTAGTTTTTATTAGCTGTAATGCAGTCACTAAGCATTTTGAACACTTCATGCCAAAACATATCAGAACACATACGTGTCACCATGCCACTGAACTGAAAACAAGTATCGCACAGTAAAAGACTGAAGGAAGTGAACACACAATAAACCTTCAGATGGGAAAATACAGTGCTACATCCTTCCACAATGCAAAACCGCCACTGCCTTCACTATTGAAGCATAAAGAATAGCAATTATATCTAAATCCTTCTGAAGTTTCTCATTAAAGAACAAATTCAGTAGAACGCTTACGCTCAGATTGCCTTAACGGATATCAGAGCTATCATTTTATATGAAAATATGGCAATTCATAGGCCACATGCATAATTAATTCAACAAGAGAAAGCTATAAGAGCTTCAATTAAGCAAAGGACACAGTGATGTCTTTCAAAGCTGAGTTCGAAAGGAGTTGTATTCCAGAGTATTTGTTAATGCAGAGAGGTGCTGCTGGCCTGAAGTTTGTCTCTAGGCTCTCTTTTTATTTATTTTTTAACCCTGCAGTAGTTGGCAGGCACCGAGGCACCACACCTCAGCCGGTTCAGCGCGCCTGAGGGCGGTCTCCCCCGGCACCAGGGCGCTGAACCCCCCTCCCAAGCGGGAAAGTTTAGCCCACTTTAATCACCTTTAAGACCCTTTAAACACACCCAATATTTGTACCCTACAAAGAGGTTTCAGGGGGGCTTGGTTTGCCAAAGGCAATTTACGAAAAAGTTAAGCTTGGGCAGCCTTTCGGGGGTGGGGAGGGGGAAGGGAAAGCAGTTGTCATTCTTTTCCCCCACTGCACACGCAACCCCGGCAAATTCAGACCCGCGTTTCACAACAGCCTGCTGACCCGCAGGTCCATGCCGGCGTGCGGGGCGAGGTCTCGGACCCGAGGGCGGGCTCGGCAACCGCGGGATGGCGAGCGGCGCCTGACAACACCGGCCAGCTTCGCCCCGCGCTGTCCCCGGCTCCGGAAAAAGCCTGGCCCGCACCGGCCCCCCTCCCCTCCCTCCCCCCCGCCGCTCGCCCTGACTCACCGCCACCGAGCCCGAGGAGGAGGCGACGAAGACGCGGATCACCATCTTCACCTCATGAGCCGCGGCGACGGGACCGGACGGGACAGGGCAGCAAGGCAGCGAGGCTGCGGGGACGCC